AGAGAGAGAGAGAGAGAGAGAGAGAGAGAGAGAGAGAGATAACAACTGGAACGAGATGACTACGATGAAGCTGTGAGAGAAGGAACAAAAGAATAAAGCGTAGAGGAAGACACAACACAACTGGGAAGACAAGATACCGCCACAGTTATTTCCTTGTGAGGCCCAACACAGCCGTCACCATCAAAGGCCGCCCACCGTACTGCTGCCAGGAAATAATACAATACTGGCCGAGGAGGGATGCTGGAGGGGGGGTGTGTGAAAGTGGGGGATGATGGGGGGTAGTAGGGATGGTGGGGGTAGTGGGGATGGTGGGGGGTAGTGGGACAGGTGGGGGTAGTGGGGATGGTGGGGGTAGTGGGGATGGGGGGGAGGGGGGGTGAGGGTTTGTCTCTGTCCACACACACACACACACACACACACACACATACACACACACACACACACACACACACACACACACACAAAACCAAGACAGAAATTCAACACAAATGCTCAACGATAACAGTGAAGGAAGGTATCAGTAACACCAGGGTATGATAACGAGACTTTTAATACTCTCTCCTGTATCAAGTTCAACACACAGAGCATTTACCTGGTTCACGATCGTTAATTAAGGCGACAGTAATACACCTGGCAGGTAGACTAATCAACAGGAGTATCGAATTCTACGTATTCCATATTCTAAAACAATATAAAAGGTCATTGTCTCTTTGGCCTAATTCCTCAATCTGGTCAGGGTCAATTGTCACTCTAACCCGCTGGAAAGAGTGAAGGATATATCCGTAGACTTAACAGGATATGGACGGACGGACTCACTAAGAATTTCGATTACAATTCCTTCGCCTCTGAGGATCTCGCTGGTGAACTTTATATGTCTCATTGATCCAGGACTGATGGAGGAGGAGAGGAAGGGGAAGAGGAGGAAGAGGAGGAAGAGGAGGAGGAGGAGGAGGAGGAGGAGGAGGAGGAGGAGGAGGAGGAGGAGGAGGAGGGAGGAGGAGAGGAGGAGGAGGAGGAGGAAGAGGAGGAGGAGGAGGAGGAGGCATGAACAACCAAGGCGACGACCAGCTTAGCTTCATCACAAGACACCAGTCAATACGCTGATGATCGACCACCAAAGACCTAAATAATCCACAATGTTCCCTCGAGGTGTGTGGCGCTGGGCTCTCGTCTCTCACCGCTCCAGAAGGGGGAAAAAAATATAATGCGTGGTGGCAGTGGTGACCCCGCGGGAAATTAGAGGCGGTCGCAGCCGTATATTGGTGCAAGACTCACCCCCCCACCTCCTCCTCTTAGTACCCCCTATTACCCTCCCACCCTCTCTTAGTACCCCCCTCCACCCCACTCCCCTCTCCTTGGATTGAAGGTGGTGACAAATAAATTTCACCTTCATGCTTACGAGGGAGAGACCATCGTGTGACTAGAGAGAGAGAGAGAGAGAGAGAGAGAGAGAGAGAGAGAGAGAGAGAGAGAGAGAGAGAGAGAGAGAGAGAGAGAGAGAGAGAGAGAGAGAGAGAGAGAGAGGGGGGGGAGAAACCACCGAATCTGGAGTTAAAAGACCGACGGGGCCACAGGGTATCTCTAGGCCACAAGAAACCCCGTGCCCAAAAAGATTTCTTGGCCACAGACCTTCCTAGGCCACAGAACCTACTCGGTCACAAGACTTCCTGGGCCAGAAGACTTCCTGGACCACAAAATCTACTGGGCCACAAGATTTCCTGGGCGACATGACTTCTTAGGCCACAAAACCTCCTGGGCCACAGAACCTACCGGGCCACAAGACCACATGGGACACAAGGCCCCAGGAATCCCAATAATAGTGGTAAAGTTGGCGAGGTTGGAAGCAAAGGGTGGTGGTGGTGGTAGTAGAAATAGTAGTAGTGGTAGTAGTAGTAGTAGTGATGGTAAGTGGTGGTAGTAATAGTGGTGGTGGTGGTGGTGGTAGTAGTAGTGGTGGTGATAGTGGTAGTAGTGGTGGTGGTGGTAGTGGTGGTGGTGGTGGTAGTAATAGTGGTGGTTATGGTGGTAGTAGTAGTAGTAGTAGGATAGCTTCTATGTATTAGGATATTTAATATTAAGGTAACAAATGGTGGCGAAGGTGTGGCTATTGGGGAGGCTGGAGGCCACGGTTAAAAGTAGTAGTAGTAGTAGTAGTAGTAGTAGTAGTAGTAGTAGTGGTGGTGGTGGTGGTGGTAGTAGTAGTGTTAGTGGTGGTAGTAAAGTAAGTGGAGGGAGGGCGGGAGGGAGGAGGAGGGAGGGGAGGGGGAGGGCTGTCGATGGCGTGTTACCCAACCCTTCCACCTCTAAACAAACCAAGATGTGGGCAGCCTCTGGTCACGAACACAAACAAAAGAAAACTGGACCTCACACACCAAGCCCAGCAGGAGGAGGAGAGGGAAAGTGCAGGGTAGCGAGTGGGGGCAGTTGAGTGAGTGGGAAGAGGGAGAGGAGTGTGGTAAGTTGAGAGTGGAAAGGAGGAGAGGAGTGGATTAGTTGAGAGTGGGAAGAGGGATGGTGAGTGGGAGAGTTAAGAGAGTGGGATGAGGGATGGGAGTGGGAGAGTTGAGTGAGTGGGAAGAGATTGAGAGGGGCGAATGAGAGGGGTCATGGGTGAGTGAGAAGCAGTGAGAGAGGGGAGAAGAATGAGTGAGTAAAGAGAAGGAGGAAAAGTGACAGAGAGAGAGAGAGAGAGAGAGAGAGAGAGAGAGAGAGAGAGAGAGAGAGAGAGAGAGAGAGAGAGAGAGAGAGAGAGAGAGAGAGAGAGAGAGAGAACTACAGCCATGGAAGGGATAATGAGAAGAATAAAGCAAAGGAGAATAAAACATAAGATAAGTAATAGTAGACGATAGGTTGTGGGAAGTGGAAAATGAGGAAGAAGAGAGAAGGAAGAAGATAATGGAAATATATAAAATAATTATAATAAATAAAAACAACAACAACAAAGCACTAGAGGAAAAAACACAATGAAAACACAGAAATAATTAGACCAAGGAAAAGGGGAAAATAATAATAACAATTTTAATAATGAGAAGAAAAAGAAATGTAAAAAAGAAGCCACAACAAGAACTAATAAATAACAAAGGTGAATAATAAAAAAGAGATGACAAAAACAAACACGATAACACAAGAAGGAACGCAAGCAATGTCAAACAAAAGTCAGAATCTTAAAAAACCTTAAGTCTATATTTACCTATGGGGAACCTTCACACACACACACACACACACACACACACACACACACACACACACACACACACACACACACACACACACACACACACACACACACACGAGGAAAGACGTTGAACTAGACTATAAATACGAGTGAAAAATTGCAAGCTAAGAAAAAAAAACGAACAAAATAAGAAAGGTTTTGTATGGAGGGAAGAAAGGAGGTTGAGAGACAGAGAGAGAGAAAGAAAAAAAATGGGTAGGTAAAATAAAGAATGGGTGAGGTGAAGGAAAAGGGGAAGGGGAGGCATGATTGGCCTGGCAGAGGGTCAGTGTTTGGTCAGTTCGACAACAACAAAAGAACAATGACCCAATATCCACGCATGAATAGCTAAAGAACGGGGGAGGTACAACTGTGGAGAGTGGAATGGTGGTGGAGTGGGCTGGAGAAGCGAGAAGAAGAAGGAATAGGGGGAGGAGGGGGAGGAGAGAATAGGCGAAATCGTCAATAATAAAGGCAGGGTTTTTCGCTCCATGATGATGAAATTAAGACTCCAAATGGTCAGAACTCCTCGTCAACTAAGCCTCCTCTGCCAGGGTGAGTCTTCCCACCCCCTTCCACCCTCCCCACTCACTCCCCCTCCACGTGGTCAGGTAATTTCGTCCCTCTCTTCACCTCACCCCTCTCACTACCATTGCCCATTTCATCCTTTAATAAAAATATGAATATCGTAATACCTACACGAAACTATACATACATACATACATACATACACACATACAGTACATACATACATACATACGACCTTATTTCTAACGACTTGTATATCACATCATTGACATTAATAATTCACTAATGCAATAATAGTCTTGAAAGGGAATTGGCATACAGTATTGATGTTTGGTGATACATATTCGTTAGTTACTTTACAAGATGATCTAAAACTGTATTCCCGTGTAACCGTAAGTCGTGTTTCTGTAATGGTATATGTAGATTTCTGTATTTATACATGTAATTGTAATGTTTGAGAATTAATGAAAGAATGTAGTTATTAGTAAGCTGAGTTATTGATTTCTCTACAGCACACGGTCACGGTGGTACGAAGCAGCTGACATAGATCCACCAAACTGTCTTGTCTTTCCCTGAGGCGTTGGTGGTCAACTGCTATTATATCCCGGTTATATGACGCCTTCTTCGGCAACATCAACCTGATTTAACCAAAGAAATCCACCGAGATATCTAATACAATACAACCCGGCAGCATCCAACCAACCAACCAACTCAAAACAACATCCAACCAAAACCAACCACTCAACAGCACCCAACCAACCCAGCTGCAATCAAACAACCAATCAACCAACCAATCAAACCAACACAAAGGACAAACAAACGATCTCCATGCTAATACTAAGCCTGCCACTGGACTAAAAATAAAAAATAAATAAATAAATAAATAAAAATAAAATCATTCCTACAGAGAGACTTTACTTCCTACCCAACAATTCCTATCATCTGAAACACCCACAGCTAAAAAAAAAAAAAAATCACGTGGAGGGGGAAGGGGAGAACTACGAAGATACCAAGAATGATAAAAAAAATCACTATCTTACAGCTTATACCATATCTAAGAACTGTGTCGACATCCAGGGGAAATATACCAGGTAAGGTACCATTTTATATCAACTGTGAGACTCGTACACCATCTACAAAACACATATGGTTTTATTAGTACTATGGAGCTGTCGAGAGAGAGAGAGAGAGAGAGAGAGAGAGAGAGAGAGGAGAGAGAGAGAGAGAGAGATACAAACACAGACTAAGAAAGACTTACTTCATCCAGGGCGGCCTTGCGGCTGATTCAGTAGTCTCCCATGGCCTAATTTCCTCCTGGTTGACTGAGGACATAGCTGCCGTGTCCCACCCAGCCTGTAGGTACACCAATAAGGAGAAACTACAGTACTTTACTTACTTACTTACTTACTTACACACACACACACACACACACACACACACACACATTGTTTTACTGCCATTATCATTATTTCCAAAATTTTGTAATTATCATCTTTACTATTATTACAACCACGTTACTACAACAACGGCTACTATTACTATTCCCTATCACATTTATCATTATTATTATTACTATTATAGTCATTATGATATTATTACTATTATCATTATTACACATTGGGAATTAATGAAGATAATAATAGGTTAAAAAGACAATGTGTGAGGGGAGGAACGTGAGAAAGATGAGGGGAATAGAGGGGAGAACGTGAAAGAGAGCTAAGGATGAGGGTGTCAGGGATGAGGGGAATAGAGGGGAGAATGTGGAAGAGAGCTAAGGATGAGGGTGTCAGGGAAGAGGGGAATAGAGGGGAGAACGTGGAAGAGAGCTAAGGATGGAAAGTGTCAGGGATGAGGGGAATAGGAGGGGAGAATGTGGAAGAGAGAGCTGGGCGGATGAGGGGTGTCAGGGATGAGGGAAGGAGGGAGAACGGAAGAGAGCTAAGGATGAGGGTGTATGGGATGAGGGGAATAGAGGGGAGAATGTGGAAGAGAGCTAAGGATGAGGGTGTCAGGGATGAGGGGAATAGAGGGGAGAATGTGGAAGAGAGCTAAGGATGAGGGTGTCAGGGATGAGGGGAATAGAGGGGAGAATGTGGAAGAGAGCTAAGGATGAGGGTGTCAGGGATGAGGGGAATAGAGGGGAGAATGTGGAAGAGAGCTAAGTATGATGGTGTCAGGGATGAGGGGAAAGTGGTAAGAAAAATGAGTAAAAAATAACACCTACAGAACTTAACAAAAATATGATGGTTGAGAAGAGGGGAACAAAATAAGTGTGAGGGGAAACAAGTGAGGGGGAAACTAGTGAGAGGGGAAACAAGTGTGAGTAGAAACAAGTGTGAAAGGAGACAAGTGTGGGGGGAAACAAGCGCGAGGGGAAACAAGTGTCAAGCAATACATCTGAGGGGGGAAACAAGTGTGAGGGGGAAACAAGTGTGAGGGGAAACAAGTGTGGCAATATACCAGTGCGACGGGAAATGACATGAACGTGGGAAAAACTTTTAGGGATATCAAATATAAGAGGAAATAAGGGGAAAACTATAAGGAGACACAGGTTTGAGGGGAGATAAATGTGACCGAAAAAAATGACTTGATAGTTCAGAATCCTATAATAGATGGATTGTTAACCTAACTTACTCTATAAACGATAACAAAGTTTATAATGTGATATATTTCTATTTTATTCGTACTTACGTTTTGATAAGGGAACTGCTGGTTGGATGGCTGGAAATCATCATCTGAAACAAATGACGGTAAATATTACACATTAAAGCAATAAAAACAACTACAATTTTGAGAATAGTATAGAAAAGGGATTGTGGTATGATTGTGTGGTAGGATGGTGTTGGTGTCAGACAATTGAATTCACCATTGAAGCTGAACCATAACTGTCTTCCTTCTCTCACAATTGTACAGCTCGATTCTACCTTGTGTGTGTGTGTGTGTGTGTGTGTGTGTGTGTGTGTGTGTGTGTGTGTGTGTGTGTGTGTGTGTGTGTGTGTGTGTGTGTGTGTGTCTCCAGTGTCCCAGTGTGTTTGTCCCAGTGTATGGTTCTAGTGTCCAAATGTGTGTCCCAAAGTGTGTCTCAATATGTTCAATGTGTCTCAGTATGTCCCAATGTGTGTCCATTTCTCTACACCTAACACGGACGGGGGGTGGGGGGGAGGCAAAGATACACTCGAGAGTCACCTGAACACACACACAGAGGGGTCAAGGTCATCTGTGTTCACCCGAGCTGGCAAACTCCCCGTTCTTCTCATCTCATCAAACATTTGCTCGACTTTCAACCGGATGTTACGGTATTTTACATGTGAGTGAAGTGTTAGCAAAACCTACACAACAGTTTAGCCGATAATGGAGAGAGAGAGATTCACGCGTAGTATCACCAAAATTAATCAATCGTGGTCTAATTTTTTTTTTCTCTGAGGGTTGTCGACCACGGCCCCCTCTCCCACACACGTATTCGGCCTCACTATCGTTAATCCTCTCAATTTTTTTCTCTCTCTGGGGACCGCAGGTTTTAATAACATTTAATTACCCTCGATTTATCTTCTCCTTGACTGTCCGTCCATTAATTTTACCCATTAATATCTTTTACCATTATCCAATTTTCCGATTTTATAATTATGGGCAAATTATCTTCTTTCTTTTTTTTTGGTAATCCATAAATTTTCAGTAATTCGCTCGTTGTTTTAGCCAATCTTACAAGCTCTCTCTCTCTCTCTCTCTCTCTCTCTCTCTCTCTCTCTCTCTCTCTCTCTCTCTCTCTCTCTCTCTCTCTCTCTCCCACTCTCTCTCTCTCCCACTCTCTCTCTCTCTCAGACAAATACATCTCACATACTGTCTCATACACAAACAAATGTCTCTCTTTTTCTCTCCCATTGCCTTTCTCTCTCCTTCACTTTCCGTCTATCTCTCCCTCCCTCCCCTTCACACATCTTACGCTACACCCTCAAAGGCTGCACCAAAAACCAATAAAGTCAAGTCTATTAGAGGGATCAACTTTGTCAGGTCACCATACTAACTAACGTTAACAAAGTCTAGTTCACTGGTCCTCCTGTAACGCCAAGTTCATCAACAAGGTTAACTTTCCCCTGGAGACGCCTGGCAACTTTACTGACACAAAACATTTCGCGACGTAGTTCTTGTGTGTGTGTGTGTGTGTGTGTGTGTGTGTGTGTGTGTGTGTGTGTGTGTGTGTGTGTGTGTGTGTGTGTGTGTGTGTGTGTGTGTGTGTGTGTGTGTGTGTGTGTATGCAAATATTTTTTCCTGTTCATTGGTTAAACTTGCAACTATCCCCCTCCCCCCAACGTTGCTTAGTTACCCCCTTCTCCCCATTACTACTACTACCACCTATTATCCTCTCCCTTCCTACCGACCCTCACTCCTATCTCCCTGACAACTTCCCTCTCTTAGTCGCCTCTCCATGTTAACATCTTATCTCCCTTCACCACGGCCCCTACGCACGACAAGTCCTTTCTTCTCCTTAACGTCAACGCCCCCTAGCCACGCCCCGCCACACGTCCCTTCCTCTCCACGTCAACGCCCCCTAGCCACGCCCCGACAAGTCCCTTCCTCTCCTCAACGTCAACGCCCCCTAGCCACGCCCCGACAAGTCCTTCCTCTCAACGCCAACGCCCCTTCCCTTCTCTCCTCAACGTCAACGCCCCTAGCCACGCCCCGACACGTCCCTTCCTCTCCTCAACGTCAACGCCCCTAGCCACGCCCCCAAAAAGTCCCTTCCTCTCCTCAACGTCAACGCCCCCTAGCCACGCCCCGACAAGTCCCTTCCTCTCCTCAACGTCAACGCCCCCTAGCCACGCCCCGACACGTCCCTTCCTCTCTCCAGCCACACACAGCCCAAAGCCACGCCCCGAGAACCAGTAATTAGCGCCTTCACCACACTGCCTCCTCCTTCACGCTAAATGAGGAATCGATACAGACGGGTTCGGTAAAGCCTGGGAGCTCTTCCAAACTTTGGTAGACCGACCCATCCCCTACGGACCGACCCCCACCCCTACCCTCCAACTCTTAGCCCAAACTGACCACGAACCACTATTAACACCACTATCGCTTCTAGTATTACCACCACTGTCGTTACTACCACCACCACCAGTACCACTATTATCACAACACTAACATCGCTACTACCACTATCACCACCACCTCCACTGCTACCGCTACTACCACCCTCTAATATGACTCTATAAACACAAACGCTTTAACCCCTAATATTTTTCTAGTTACTTCTTCCATTTGGCTTCCAGTAACCATCATCACACTCCTCCTACTCCTCCTCCTTTTAATGTACTTCTTCCTTTTCCCTTCCTTTATCTCTCCTTTTCAACTCCTCCATCTTATTAAACCACAGTAATTCTATTTTTAAATTCTTCCCCCTTATTCCTTCCATGCTATCACATCTACCTAACACCTTCATCATCTTAACATCTTCTATCTTGTCTCCTTCAACCTTCACCTCCATCTAGATAAAAGCCCCTCATTTTCTACCTCTTACCCCCCTTCTCTCTCTCTCCCTCTTCCCCTAACCAACAAAACTTCCATCTGTTAAAATTCGTTTCCCTGACTTCAACGACCTAGCTCACAAGCTCTGGCCTTAAGGATGTGGGAGTGAAGGGGGGGGTAGTAGTAGTAGTATGAGGCGAGTAAGTAAAAGGAAGGGAGCGCCTGAAGGGGTACAGAAACTCACTCCTCCCCTCACTTCACCACCAATCACCCCCCTCACTTCACCCCCTACCCAAGCTAGCCTCAACCATCCCATCCCTTCTCCCCTTAACCCAAACTAACCACCAACCGTCCCTCACCTTACCCCAAGCTAGCCACCAACCATCCCTCGCCTCACCCCAAGCTCGCCACCAACCATCCCTCACCTCACCCCAAGCTAGCCACCAACCATCCCTCGCCTCACCCCAAGCTCGCCACCAACCATCCCTCACCTCACCCCAAGCTAGCCACCAACCATCCCTCGCCTCACCCCAAGCTAGCCACCAACCATCCCTCGCCTCACCCAAGCTCACCACCAACCACTCCCTCGCCACTCTCCCTTTAAATCCCAACATCCCGGCTATAATCCCGTTAGCGTATCTTCGGCGGGAGTATTACCGCGGTAAAAAGGTAGCCCGCCAGTGGGCTTTGTGGCCGCCTGCCTGGATACAAACACCATTACTACCCAAATTTTCTCCCCCGCCATCGCTCTAACTTACTTCCTGCCCCTTTCTCCATATTTTTTCCCGTGTGTGGATAAATTATATTACCTAGCGTATAACATGAATTATAAAGAGTAAACATGAATATTCCAGGAGCCAGAACAGGAATATATTTTTTTTAAAGGAGTAGATTTGAAGAGGGTGTCCCAGATGACTTAAAACTCACTGAGAAAAGAGATATTGTATTGTTTTAAACGTTAGTAATAAGAGATGGGTCGTATCTCCCTCTCTGGTAAATGGTTCAGCTTACCACAAGAACAGTTCGCGCCATTAATAATTAACTTAAGAACACAAGCTATCAAATAATCCTGAAAATAATCCTGTGAGTTATATAATACTCACATTTTGTTAATAAAGGAAGAAAAAGTATATAAAAAATTAAGAATTAATTATAGTCTTGAAAGTTCTCAATAGAATGAATTATATGTAGACATTTATGTTATATTATTAAATAGACTGATTATTTCAATGTCTTATTATTTTTTAAAGTCAATGAAGAGAAAGAAGAAAGAAGAAAGAATAAGAAGAATAAGAAGAAGAAATAATAATAACAACAAAATTTAAAATATCCTTACGGCAATCCACATCACGTTGCTTATTATCCCTGACAGACAGACAGACAAACGACTCACCTACACAGAACTCTAATCACCAACACCCATAAACACACAACATCATCTACTGGGAATAAACCACAACGCCGCAGGGAAGACGAACACAAACCAACCAAGAGTCTCCAAACGCATAGAAGACTTGAAGAGACCAATGGGTAACCACTGGGCATATCAAGATATCCCACAGTTATAGAAACCTGAATAAAGTACTTGTGGTGACGTAACTACTTCATCCTGATTAAGACATAAAGGACCTCAGACATATTCGACGAGGATAGTCCTAAATACAACGTCAGAATCAGCACATTAGTGAATCTATGTAAAACCAAGGCTGACTGTTCAAGGATGTGTGAGCGTTTCTCTTGGACTATAGGAAGAGAGTGTGAGTGTGTGTGTGTGTGTGTGTGTGTGTGTGTGTGTGTGTGTGTGTGTGTGTGTGTGTGTGTGTGTGTGAGTGTGTGTGTGTGTGTGTGTGTGTGTGTGTGTGTTACTCTTGGATTATAGAAAGCGTGTGTGTTCCTCTTAGATTAGAGGGTGTTTCTCTTGGAGTGTGTACAAGACGTGTGTGTGTCCCTCTTGAATTATACCTGGTTAAGAATACGTGATACTCTTGTCCAAATACTACAGGGAGACAGACGGGGGGAAGGGGACGTGTAGTGGGTGAATCTTACGAAGCGTTAGGGGGAAGAAAGAGTTGATTGATCGAGGATAGGAAGTGTGGAAATTGAGACCGAGTGGGCGTGGAGATAACGAGTGAAAGTCGAGAGGGGCGGGGAGAGTGAGAGTCGAGGAAGGGGGCGTGGGAGAGGGCGTGGGAGGTGGGGAAGAGAGGAAGGGGGCGTGGGAGAGTCGAGGAAGGGGCGTGGGGGGGCGTGGGAGAGAGTGAAGAGAGTCGAGGAA